ATGCACGATTTTTTGTTAGAGAGTATTCCAACCAATCCGGAAATAACTTGTACCAAGAATCTGAAAAACGGCGTCCATTCTTACCAGTTTCAAAAGGTTGATTGTTCGGAGCCTTGGGTTGATGTGGGCCGGATTTGATATAAGCACGTCTGATCTCATCACGTTCAGATACTGGGTAATCCCATATTTGTTGACGCAACCCCAAATCCTTTACCAAAGAAGATGTATCAACTTCTTTAGATTCGACTCTTGGAAGTTTAGAAAGACGTTGTTCCGGAGGAGTTGAATTTTCAACACTATTGGTGGAACTTTGAACAATATTTTCAGAACCTCTTTTCTTAAAGAAGGAATCGATTTTTTTGTTCGCCGTGATTAACTTAATTGTCAATAATTATCATTCAACAACCTGAACGCAATTAAGAATAATTATTATTATTATTGTAGTACATTTTTAATGTAAATAGACTCTAAAAAATAACTTTTAGAATCTTATATCCTAGCACAATCCTATCCTATTCCTAAAAATCATAAAATATATGGCAGCACAAAATAACATTTAGTTTTTTATCCAAATTCTTAGAGGAAATCAACAAATCATAACCTAAAAGCCTATTCAATTATCAAGAAATCACACAACACAGTACCTACCAATTACAATAAATCATAGTATTAAAAAAAAATTCACAATATTTAATTAACAATTGTACCAATAACAATTATCAGATATTCATCGCAACTCCTAGCTTCTCTACCCTATGCCAGCCTCTGTGATTGCATTGGCCCCACATTGTCATTAAATTATTATTTATTTTTTAAAAAAATTCAACATCAATTGCTAACCCAGATAATGTTAGAGGTGGTGGGTTCTGGTGTGTGTGTTGAAAAAGAGTGTATGTGTATTTATTTTTTCGATTGGCATAGTAAAATTGTCACAACCCAAACTCGCCCCTAAGGGTTTAGTATCGTAACCAGCCAGTAATCCGTGATTACCAAAGGCCTGCTTAACAATAATGTCGATAATACAGAAACGGGGCTGGCGGAAGCCAATCAATAATAAAAAGATGTCCAATGAGCTGTGAAAACCTTTTCTATAGACATATACCAAAAATAAATGTACAAGGTAGCATATAGGTTAGGGACCTAATCCCCTCAGCATAGCTGTACAATCAAAGTCTTGAACATTCTTTGCAATAACAGGGATAAAAAGGGTGAATATGGAACACTCCAAAACAGCCTTGACTCGTGTAGGTTCGGAACCTCGATAGGAAGTACAATGGCTGGCTTGACAAAACGAGAGCTCAAGTCGGCGCCCTTAGCTCGGGTCTGGTGCTCAGCCACCTACATATATATATACAAATTGTGAGCTAAAACCTAGTGAATAACAAATGTGTACAGAGGTTGGGAATGATGTCCTTTAATTTTGAAAACAATCATTTAGCATTAGAACGTTTTCAATCAATACCATTTGTCAATAAAACAATCGATTAGCATTAGAACATTTTCAATCAATATCATTTGTCAATTAATCGTTCAATTCAATCAATTCGATCCATCATATTCATTAAGTCATACGTGGTACATCCAATAGTAACAATACACTAGGTCTTAAAAGACCAAATAATCAATTGATGACCATCATACAATAACAATAGTTCCCAGATTTGGAATTGACAGAGATCCCTGTAACAATAACGATAACAATATCAATAACAATAGCAATATCCTATGGATGTGTAACAACCCTCATACTGTTTACTGATTAAGGACTGATTGATTACCGATAATCACCGATTACTGCTAAACGGAACTGATAACTGACTGATAATTGAACTGACTGACTGGAATTGAAACTGAATTGACTGAGTATATGTTAGTTAATTGCATTCTATCTGTTTGATTGTCTGATTATCTGTTCATGTTTATATGTTTAAACTGCTAATTGAAGGCCTTATCGGCGGCCGAATCTGAAATTGATTAGTGTCTTAAGATCAGTAGAATTAATGTGATTTTATGGTGTATTGAATTGAACATTGATTTGGTATGATTAAATTAGATTAAATTGTGTAATGTCATGAATTAGGCTAATTACCTTTTTGCCACCACTAGTGGGCCACTACCTAAGACTATACTTGAGCCTTATTACCTTCAAACAAAACATTTCCTCAACCAATTTCATTTTCGGAAATAAAATGCAGCAAGATGAAGAATATAATTAGCAGAGGTGAAATACGAAATTTCTGAATTGAAAAACATCAAATGAGGGTGGTCCTATTTATAGATGTGAAGGTGGCTCTTGGTTTTCAATTGAACAGGTATGTGGCTCTTGGTTTTGAATTGAACAGGTATGATACCTGTTGGGTTTTGAATTTCAAACAGATTCAACAATTCAAACAGATAGCAATTACGGGAAGGGCCCTGTTTGGGTGTGCACTAATTCCAAAACAGTTTATTTCTGTTTGAAAACGATCCAAACCAATTTAATTTGAATTTTGGATTTTATTTTAATAAAAAATAAAATTAAATTCAAATGTTTTTGGCCCAAAAAGATTAGAAGCCCAACCACACCACACACCCGCGCCCAAGCCCAGCCCGCCCGACCTACCGGACGGCGGCGTGCGCATGTGTGGTGATTTTTGGGTCCAATGGGTCTAGCCCATTTTGCCCATAACCTCTCCCTCTAAAACACTTGGGTACCCCTTGGGGCACACCCCAAGTATCTCACTCTAAGCCTTATAAACCCTTTCAAAACTTCCCACCAAATCAATGTGGGACAAGCCAATTTACAACCTTAAGGAATTTCCACCAAAACTCCATTTCCATGCAGTACACTTTGGCTTCAATTTTCCATTCACTCGGTAATGGTTTTGAGCAACCAAATATACCACGTGAATCACAACGCGGCATAGAACGCGTTACCACGTTGACCCGAGTAAATCGACACTCGGGACCCACCTAAAAAATAGACCGAACTTAAGAAAAAATTCTGGTTTTATCCAGAATTTTATAACCATTTCCAACAGAAGATGCATGAATAATACTGAAGATCAAGAAAACAGGCTTTGGGGTGATGTAAATGACTATGGGATCTTCCTCATTGAGCTCATAACAGGGAAGAGTGCCCGCCTTTTTCAGAAGAAAAAGGGTCTGTCCTTAATTGATTAGGTAAGCTGTCTAGGCTCTCTCTCTCTCTCTCTATATATATATATATATCAATGGTGATCTCCTAGAAAGAAAGGAAATTCTTTCTTTGGATCTCTCATGTCTTCTTGTCTCAAGGTTGCTCTCTACCATATGATTAGATTAGAGAGAGACATCGTGTAGTAGCGAGGTGCTTTAGAATAAGGAGACAGAACAAATTCCAGACAGAGAATCCAACCTCCCTCATAAGCTTCATGAATAATTACTACAAATTGAATGTTGATACTGAATTTTATACCAATCCCTGGCATTCAACAACCCCCCCCACCCAACAATATCATAGAAAGTAGCCAACCAAAAGATTATAAGAAAAAAAAAGTCTTGTTAATAGATATCCTCAGAACATTTGTTATCATGCTTAAAATAGTTGTACATTCCCCCATAAAAGTGAATTATTAAATAATATATAATCATTTAATGTTTGCTAAGAAATGTTCTTAGAACACTTTATGAAGTCATTTGTAGCATTGTTTTTTTCAAAAGAATAATCTCAAAACAAGACTAACCAAGCCAAGCGATGCCACAAATTTGTGTGAATAATATGAAATTTTTTCTATACCCAATTCACTCCTCTGAGATCCTATCCAATGCGGACTAAGGTAAGCATACTTTAATCTCAAAACAAGAATGTGAACAAAAAATATAAAAACAATAACCTGATTATTAAGCTAGAACTTAAATATTGTTCCTAGTTACTAGAGTGTTTGAAATTGGCTTTTTTAGTAATTTTTTGATTTTTTTTAAAAACTATTTTTTATATTTTGTAATCAAAGAATCGACTTATTTAGCACATCCGAAAAGTTATAATCACATAGCATTCATTTTGAAGTTGGTATGAGTACCAAGGTTATCAAGTTTGTTTTGACATATTTGTATTTGTGGAACAACAGGCAATTCCATATCTGGAAAATGGTTCACTCAACCAAGTGATGGATCCGAGGTTAATGGAGATGAGTAGTGACTCCGAGGTTGTCAATCACATTGCACCAGCTGCCTTGCTCTGTCTAAACAATAATGCTGGGGCTCACAAATTTTCCATAAGTGAGGTATGTTTTGACTTACTATGGTTTATTATTTGCCTAGTTTACAGGTCTATTTTTTATTTATTTGTCTTTTAGTTAATTTATTTATTTGTCTTTTAGTTAATTATTTGTCTCTTATATTATTTGTCTTTCAATCATAAATATTTATTTGTCTTTTAGTTAAATATTATTTGTCTCTTTTATTTATTATTTTCAACAGAATGTTTATCATAAAAATCATATTTGTCTCTTATATTTAATTATTTGTCTTTTAGTTTTATTTATAGTTCTCTTTTTAGTTTTGATATTTAACTTCAATTTGTAGGTTGTATCTTTTAACCATAATTATAAAAAATAAAAAAAAATAAAAAAATATCGGCGTACCGCAGCCGTACCCGTACTCTACTTTTTTGGAGTTTTTCCGAATCGGCGTACCCGTACTCGTACCCGTACCGTACTCGTACCCGCACCCGTGCTTGCTACGGTTTTCATTATGATCAGAAAAATACAACTCTCTCTCTCTTAACCTAAAAGAGGCGCCCATTCATCTATTTATAAGTATAAAATTAGGGTTATACGGAAGCACATGGGAATTATGAAAGTACCCAAAAATTTCAGCAGGGGTAAACCCCCCCAGACCCCCTCCCCCTTGGGAGGAGGCCCTCCCAAATCTCCGTTGGACCCAATGTTTAAGTGAATAGTAGGGTTGAGTGAACAGTACTTATCACGGTCTACCAATCCAACACTTCACCTCCTCTTTTACTTATTGCTGGAAGCTCTAGGAAATTTTTGCACTTAATTTTCACTAATGTTACCAAAGTTTAAATATGTTGAAACAATGCATTTCCCTCCCACATATATTGTCAGTGTTTTAATAAAGAAACTATGGAAGATACTTAATTGGATTGCACAGAACAAAAGTTAACTTTTGCCCAAACAACATTAGACAAAGCCCAGAAAATTGCGAAAGGCAGAGGTAATATACTTGGTTGTTTTACATGAAGAAATCAAAATCTAAGAAATAGTTTAGTACTTACAGAGCAGCTGCTGCTAAAAGAGATCAAGTAATTCAACGGCCTCTAGAGATGAATGGCTCTGTGATCGTTACTGATGGAACAGAAATAAGTGGCACGTCCTCTCCATTTGAGGCTTCTCCGAAATCCTGAGACTTAATAATTTCACTGAAGTTATCAGGTAGTTGAGCTTCACCTTCCAAGTACTTCACCACATCAGATATGCTTGACCTTGCTGCAGCCACGGCATGAGAGCAAAGCAACCCTAGCTTCAGCACCAACTCAGCTTCCTCAATCACATACTCAGCTCCCAGACTTTGATCAATGGCCTCAAGAATGTTTCCGCTTTCCAAGCACTCCAACACCCAGTCTATCAAAATTATCTTCTCGGGAGACGCCCGGTGTTCCACTGGCCTTCTACCGCAGACAACCTCTAGCATAAATGTCCCAAATGCAAACAAATCAGTTCTTGTATTTGCTTTTCCAGTACGGGCCAGCTCAGGTGCAATATAGCCGAGAGTACCTGCCACATGAGAGGTTTGAAGATCAGCTCCATGGTCACATAATTTGGCAAGCCCAAAATCTCCTAATCTTGCATTGAAGTCACTGTCGATCAAGATATTGCTGGCCTTGATATCTCTATGAATGATAACCTGTATCCATTGGTGGTGCAAATAGAACAGGCCTGATGCTACGTCTTTGATGATCTTAAATCTTTGCATCCAATTTAGCAATCGCTTTGGTTGGCCATAAAGAAACTTGTCTAGACTTCCATTAGGCATGAAATCGTAAACCAATAGGAGTTCTTGCTTACACCGGCAATAGCCTAGGAGGCGGACTAAGTTTGGGTGGCGCAGCCGACCTATGGTTGCTATTTCTGCTAGAAATTCTCTCATTCCTTGTCTCGAATCATGGGCAACTCTTTTGACAGCAACCTCTGTATTCAATGTTGGTAACACACCTCGGTACACTCTACCAAAGCCTCCCCTGCCAAGAAGTTCACTCTCTTTGAAACCCTCCGTGGCAATGGATAGATCTTTATGACTGAATTTGTACGGGCCATACTGGACTTCCCAATCCTCCAACACTTCTACAAACTTCTTCCTTAAGTTTAAAAAAGCACGAATGATCATGACTGGGATGACAAGAAACCCTATGAAGGGAAGCCCAAATGCAAATGCAAATGCAAAATTTCTGTGGCCATTTATTTTCTTGAGTCGTCTCTGAGGGATCTTGGGGAGGCGAGGCAGATCAATTGGTTCAGATTGACCATTCACCTTAAAAGTCCAGCCCAGTATGTAATGAGATGTGGAAAACCTACGCATGCCTGATGAAAAGCCTACATACATGGAGTCAAGAATGGCCGGTGAAAGATCTAGCGTCAATGATAAGAGTGGGATGTCTGGCTTGGGTACATTAATTGGAGAAAGGGTAACATTAAGTTGCTTGTCTATTCCATTATATTCCACCCAAACCTGCATTGGGTCACCGCTTTGGAGGTTTAGATCTGTGAAGTTACCATTTTTACCTGCAGGAAATGAAACTGCTCTTGCAGATTTGATTGATTTCAAACCGTTAATATCGATGCCAACATGGTTGCTGTCTTTGTCCCTTATCTCCATGTCGAAGTCTTGAAAGGTGTCTAGCTCAACAGCAACAATATGATTTGAACTAGTCCCAATGTTAGTATCATCAAAGAGCCCAAGATATCCAGGTAGAGCTCCTTGGAGCTTTTTGGAAGGTGATATAACAAAGGCCATTCCACGGCCACCAAATTGTTTGTACTCTGGTACAATTGCAAAGATGAAAGTAGTAGAGAAGGAGATGACACTACCGTTGTTTGTGGAGTTCTTGAATTGGACGGCATTGTTGTAGAAAGCATGACCTGTTTGTTGCGAAAAACTGGCATTGGTTAGCGTCAATAGGCCTTTGGAATCAAGCTTCGCAGCTCCATCCAGCTTCAGTGTCTTCATTAAAGATGAAGCCATCTGGAGTACTATTGGAAGATGCAAATTTCAGAAGAAGTAACACCACGATCATGAAACTAGACATGACTAGCTTATCTTACAAATGCACTAGTTACAGAAACTGAACTAGAGTCTCCTTAATTCCTAACTTTATTCACGCGCATTTTCCATGCCATGGAAATCTTAAATTAGTCTTGCAGAAGCTCACAAGGAAACTTCATTACTACTATTCTATCCCAGCAATGAAATGGACAAATTTCACACGGTGAGAAGCGGTTGTTGAATGACATCCACCTTTGCTCTCACGTGGAGTTGGTGTAGCAGCCTTCAGAGTGAAGAAAGAAAAAGGAAAATAACCTTAAAATAAAGCCCAGAATATAATGTGACAGCACAACATTAATTGAGTGTGTGGAACCTATTAAGAATGAATATAGTATGTCACTACATTCTTGACACTTTTGGGTTTGTATTATTTTCCAAAAGGAAGAAAGAAATAGGGACTTACCTATAGGTTTTAACAAGTAGACTTATTATTTAATAAGTCTTACGATAATTAATGGTATTTTTTATCAAACACTACTAAAAAACGTCACTAATTATTAATTTTCAGTAACAGTTTAAAAATTATCACAAAAAATGTCACTAATTATAAGTTTTAGTAACAATTAAAAAAATCGTCACAAAAAATTGTCACTAATTTTCACCTTTCAGTGGCAGCTTGAAAAATGTCAAAAAAAGTCACTAATTATAAGTTTTAGCGACAATTTATAAAACTATGACAAAATAAAGTCACTAATTATTAATTTTTAGCAACATATGTAAAAAAATCGTCACAAAAAATATTTTTAGCGACGATTTTATAAAGTCTTATTAAAAATAAGACTTGATGGGAATTAAATTTAACTATTAAGAAGTATTGAGAATTTACGCAGAAATGAGAAAGGGACAAACTAGTTCTTTTATTCCTTCAAGTCAAAAAGTGATTTACATATATTGCCAGGGCATGCGCCAGCAAGCCGAGTGAAGAAAGGTGAGTTGAACGGAAGAACCAAAAGTTCTTTAACTCATCGAAAATCTATAATTTGTGGCGTGTTGGAAGGGTGGATATTTTCCTATAAAATATAAATGAAGTAATTTGAGTGATAATATAACTTTCATAGGATCTTCACCACCATCTGATATATGCGGTATATAGATGGAGTAGTATGAGAGAAAATGTAACTTTTATGGTGGGTTCCATCATTTGATATATATGATCAGAATTATTTTATGAGATCTGTTCTATGTTTAGTATTGTTTTTGTAACGGTCATAGAGATACTTACAACTATGACAAAATTAAAATAAAATAAAAAAGAAGAAGAAGAAGAAGATATAAATATAATTAGGATACGTTTGTAAATTTTTTTTTTTTTTTTTTGTAATATTGTATTAAATATATAAGCTCAAAGAATGATAATAAATCATTCTAAAGAAATTGGTTATTAATTTAAGAGGCAATAACAAGTTTACCATTTTTTAGTAAGTCCTATGAAAATTACATTAAAATATAAAGTTGATACTATTTATATTGTTATTGGGCTTGTCGTTTTCACACTCAAGTGATATACAAACATATTAAACGTAAATTTACTTTCTTATTAAATTGTTGAAGTCCAATTTTAATATATTATATTATTAAATTACTCTTACTTTCTATGAAGTATGGATATTAATACGAGACACATTTACACATTAGGGATAAATCAATTTAATAAATTCTAAGAAAGTAGGATACTACTTTAATCTCACTATTTTCTTCTTCTAACAATTATCACACAAATGATATGCAAGAATAATTACAATCTTAATTTCATAATAATTTAGATATGATATGTATATTTAATTTCATAATAATTTAGATATGATATGTATATTTAATTTCATAATAATTTAGATATGATATGTATATTTAATTTCATAATAATTTAGATATGATATGTATATTTAATTTCATAATAATTTAGATATGATATGTATATTTAATTTCATAATAATTTAGATATGATATGTATATTTAATTTCATAATAATTTAGATATGTATGTAATGAGTTTCAATGAACAAAAATGGAAGCAAGTAATAATACATTACAACTAGTCATCACATCCACAAGTATAACACCTAACATAAGTACTTGCTCAAAAGCAAATCATCAGCCTATCCCATCTCAATAGCAATGAATATGTAATACGAATGTAATGTATTGTTGTTGGCTACATATTTTGTATAAACCAATTACAATTCAATGCGTGGCAAAATAAGGATGATATAAGGAGACTATTCAAGTCTTCAATCCTGATCAT